GGGAAAGAGAAGGCACTTGAGAATGATGACAACGAAGATACGAATGAGAATGAATACGTCGAGAATAACGACGAAGGGTGACACGACAATAGACGAATGTTTTTACGAGAGCAACAATAGGAGATTTCATGCGACTTGGCTTCGAAAATGTTGCACGAAATACTCCCGATACTTCTCGGTACATCGATGAGGAATACACGCGAACGCGATGAAATCGACTATGTAAGAGGCTACATCGCGAATTCTCTTGGCCAAACAGGCAACATTAATCGCAACGTGACTGTTGTTAGTTTTCGCTGAGACATAGTAGCAACTTGCTCCTTTTCGAACTTCCGACACTTCAAGCTCGTTTCGTACAATAAGACGCACAGCAAGATGATGACACTGCAGCTGTCTGTCCGACTGTACGTCCGTCCGTTTACACCCATGCAACGCATGCAACTGCCATTAAAGACTGTTAAGCCGCGTTCTTAATGTATTTTATTACGCATGCTTTTGTTCATATTATAAAATTTATTTTCATAAATAGTAAGGAAAAAGTATTGTATAATTTTCATGTAAAAATGTTCAATACAAATGTCGATGTACATTTATTACGTATAAATGTACAAAAATTTTTTATAAATTCACTACACTTTTTATATTATTCGTATTTTTACATTTTATTTACTAATTTCTAACAATATGTGAAAAATTAGTAAACGAGTTGACCAAAACACTTTATTCAAATTAATTAATGATTTGTAGATTGAATTTTAATTGTTTCACTAGTATACATTTACGCATAATTTATATTTACATACCATAACTGTGTAATTTTTCTACTAACGGGAAGGAAATAATTGCGTAAAGGACACGATAATGATGAAACTTACATCTGAAATTCATATTTTTATCTAGATGTATTTTAAGTTAGGATGAGAAAGGATTTATATGAATTAATTCATTGTTAACATAATCATACGAATATTTTTTCAAGAATACACTTCCATTTGTGAATAAACTTTCATTGAAAGAAGAATATCACAAAATACTTTTCAAGTAATGAATATTTTATTTTTTGTTATAATTAAAATATACACTGTGTCATGGGTGAAACAGGCGAATAGTAATCAATAGTAACAAAATATTTGTGTTATTTCTTTTAATTTCACAATCTGATCTCTTTTTTTATATATATATATTTTTTCCACACGCAGCAAATATGGTATACACAGTATACAGATTTATTTTCAAAAGCACAATTAGCTTGGCTTAAAACTTTTTATCAAGAAAACGGTTAATAAACCGTGTATATGTGTAATATGAAATTTATTTAAGCCAAACTGTCGATACTTTTGTAACATCTGAGAAAAACTTGAATGTTTAAAGCCTTATCAGCCTTGTGTGTAATATAATTTCGATGTATCTAAATGTAGTCCCCACGATGCCATATCTACATTTGCTATAATTATTTTGTCATTTTTAAGCTTTCCTTTTTTTTTTTTTTTTTTTTTTTTTTTTTTTTTTTTTTTTTTTTTTTTTAGTCCAGAAAATCACAAGATATATTGGCTGTCAAATTCTCTAGTATTTGTATCATATCAAATGATACTCTACATATTAACAGTCTTCTTGCGATATGAAGAGCAGTCTTTGTACACCAGACAGGAACAACTGTTTGATGCAAATGCAAAAAATGTCATAGTAGCCTAAATTATACAAAAGTTATATTTTTACTAGTTTTAATGCCTTAAACATTCTGTTGATTCAGCGTTTGCAAACCTTTTTGCATGTAACAAGCCACAATCATTTTTGCCATATTTATAGTTGAGTTTTATGTGACACAGGAGTACACGAGTGTAGCAACTTCTCAAAATCATTAATAGCATCAATCATACTCTTTCAGCTGTAGTTCCTATGGCAATTAAAATATAATTAAAATATAAAAAAAAGAAACAACGTAAAAGAAAAAAAAAAGAAAAATGTGAAAAAAGGAAAAAAAAGAATAAAAGAAAAATACCACATAATTTATTATGAAATTTTGTGCATATTATAATATACTTATTGCTCTTCTCATGCAATTTTAAATATCATTTTAGAATATTTTGTAACCATCTTCTACCACTCGCGCACTCTTCGCGTATCTACCCAGGACGTTCATATTTTAATTATATTCATTTTGAAATATTTTTATCTTTCTCTTAATTCCTACTTTATATACTAATTCGCACACGTGTACATCATTATGTATGTGTACACGTATATACATATAACATATGAAGATACGTATGTCTCTTATGATATCTTATGATTCGTATAAGTTACAAGACTTACTTTAGTGTACAAACAATCATAGATGATACTAGATAATACGTATAGGTTACAAATTTGAGGAAGAAGTACGTTTAATTAGGAGTACGAACCATTGGTCCATGAATGGTATTTTGTTTTATATCTATCGATTATCTCTAACTGACACGTGCTTTCTGAACTGAAACTGTTTATCGACGTAAAGTCCTATTGTAAACAACACAGTACTGTGTTTCTAATAATAAGATTAACACCAAGCATATAATAAACAATACTTTAGTAATGCAACTTAAGATGCTAAAGAATAATTAGAGTATTAAATTATAAGATATACATGTTAGTATTATGAATCATGAATAACAAGAAAATAGGAGTAAATCAATCATTTTAATTTTTAGCTTGTATATGGTTCCTGTGTAAGACAGGAATAGCTTCATGTATAAAGTATTTAGTTTTAATAAAAATATTTGAAATTCTATTTCAATAGTTTCATGAATAACTTTTGTATGTAATAAATGATAAAATGTGCATAGATAGAAAAAGACATGATCCTTTTTGACTTGTTAAATTACACCAATTGCAAATCAATGAAAATTCATCTTTCTTTTTTCAGTAAATGTACATAGAACTATCTAGTATTTTACAGACCCAACATACAAAGATTAGGGAGTTTGGGGCTTTCATACAAGTCCATCAATGACCCTATAAGCTCTGTTTTCCCAAATTTCCCTATCTCAGCCTTAGCCTGTATTCAGACAAAGTTGGTCTACTCCTTACAATATTCTTGCTTTATCACCAAATTTTGAGTATGTAGGATTCATAAATCCATTCTTAATACGGCTGATGTCTCTGAAATTGACGTGGTCCCTGACCGTTTCCTCGTGGCTTACCTTGAGCCCCATATCCCATGTTGTCGTATCCATCATAACCGGCATAATCATAATTTGCATACATATCATCATATCCCCCTTGATAGCCATTGCAATATTCAGGAATGTATCCATAGCCTCCACCGTATCCATAACCATAGCTTGGACCCCAAAATCCTTGATTCCTTGGGTCTGGATTAACTTTTACTTTTTTGACATCTACTTCTTTTCCATTTATTGTTTGTTTAGGTGTTTTGAGTAACTTGTACACTACTTCCTTCGAGTCAAATGTAATGAAACAAAATCCTTTTCTCTGGTTTTTTACCTTATCGAACGGTGCTTGCAATTCAACAATTGTTCCATATTGTCCAAAATATGTTTTAATATCTTCATCGGTAATTTCTGGTGTAAGGCCACCGACAAAAATTTTGCCATGTTGAGGCTTTTTATTCACCCGTTTGGGATCCACCTATACCAAAACAAAGTTCATTTCACTGAAGAAATTCGGTATATAGAAATATTGGAAAAAAGAAAGAATTTCTAAGTTTAAATATTAGACTTAAGTATGTAAAATATAACCAACCCTTCTCTTATTGATGTAATGCTCGCCAGAAGCCAAAAGTTTGTCGATCGTTTTTGGATTGGTAAATACCATAAACGCAAAACCTCGTGAAGTACCAGTATAGGGGTCAATTTTCACGGAAATGCTCTCAATTTCACCAAATTTACTAAAATGATCCCGTAATTCTTTGTCGGTAGTATTACGCGATAGGCCACCAACGAAAAGTTTGCGTTCATCATCTTTGCCTGGAATTCCGGCGGTAGCTTGTTGCTGTTGCGGCTGTTGTTGCTGTGACTGTGATTGTTGTTGTGGTTGTTGTTGAGATTGCTGTTGTTGTTGCTGTTGAGACTGCTGTTGTTGAGACTGTGTCTGTTGGCCGGTACCCTCGTTCTGGGCTTGATTCTGGTAACAGTCAACCGCCGCCATCGCGTACCGTTTAGAGCTTACCGCGTTAAAACCACGTCAGAAAATACAAAGTGGGCTGGTCGAACCGATGAGATCAGTAAATGCAACGGTGTACTGCGCACCAGAATAATTTCGGAACAGTTGGCACGCGTCACAGTCGGTTCTTATGGTGAACCGGTTAACGACGCTATTCGTTCTTTCTACTGAGACGCAATTCATCTCTCCAATCACAACGACAGATCCAAGAGACAATACCGGAAATTCCAGTTTATTTCCGGTGATCGTTTCATTACTAACTTTAATGAATTTTCCAAAACAGCGGAAAATTGATATGCTGTCATACTTATTTTCTTTTTAAATTTATGAATTATTTTTACGATACTTCCATATTTATGTAACGGATGGTTATTGAAAGTCCTTGAACATTGCTGAACCTGAACAATGCACGAACACCTTTGTTCCTAACTGTGGGAACAGAGCCTTTATTCGTCGAAAATTGCGTATTTTCAATAAATGTTACGAAAATGATATCGCAATGTTTTACATACGTTAATAACTTTTTCTTTCGTTTTTCATACATAGAGTTATTCAGGTTAGGTTAACATTTAGATTGCCAATTCATGAAAATTTTGTTTCATATTTTTACAAGATACTATTGTTATTCTATACCTACAAATTATAGCAGCATGCATAATTGAAGTATACAGCCGAAATCATTTAACATAGGGGTATCCTTGAAGCTATGAAACTAAAATCACTGTAATGGTAACGCACACGTTTTGATCAGATTTGATATATAATTTAGCTAATATTGACTTTTACATGAGATAGTAGTGGAATAATTTATAGATTTTCTAAATTCGGTACGGTATACAAACATTTAATGAACAGGACAGGAAAACGACGAGTAGCAACATAATAAATGCTCGAACTGATTTCGTTTTCGAATACCTAATCGAACATTTTTAATCGCAAGCTTTAGAAACGACCTTTATTTATTTATAATTTTTATTAAAAAATTTAGGAACACGTGGTGTTCTTACTTGTTTGTGCACCGTTTAAAGTCGTTGCTTTCTCAATACATATATAAATATAGTCAGACAGAGAAGGTTGTATAAATAAAACACAGGCCCTCGGCAACCCCGGCTTATCTTTTCTTCAGTCGAACAGTTTAAGAATAGAATAAGGTTCTACGGGTAGACTGACTCGTTGGTAATTATAGAGCACACTTATTTGTATCTATGCAAAAAAGGTACACAAATTGCCATGTAAATATTGCACTATGAAACGATCACGCATGAAATTTCATATAATTACGAAATAAAATGGCTAATTAACGTTTTCACGTGTATGGTGAAAAAAAGCTTTCTTTTCGTACACTGTTTTATCACAGCTACAGTGGCAAAAATAAGTACCAATAAACTCACTCGATGGCGCCACTAGATTTAGTAGGTCGAACAGCGGTTTCGGAAAATTTTAAATATTTCATTGTTTTCCTCTTCGATTTGATTCGCACGTTAAATTCGAATAATCGTGTATCTGAAAAAAAGTAAACTTGTGGTCTAACAGCAACGTGATTTAGTGCGAAAAATAGAAAATTGGAAATGAAGACGATAAAACAAATCAGATGATAAAGTTCTAAATTCTTTCGTTAATTTCTTTTACAGAATTATTTTGTTAAGATTTTATCAGTATTCGTTGATCATGTTTCAATACCGATTTCACTTATGCTTGATCGACTACAACTTCTATTACAATGATTATACATTTGTTTTTGCGTTCATCACCTTTCGTAGAATACGTTGATGCTTTGTCATATGTTGTCGAAATAGCAACAATCTTGTTCGTAATCAATCGTATAAATAGACACGTGTATCGCGCAATACAAAACACACGGTTTACACGATGTCTACATATACCTGTCTTCAAAGGTAAGCATGTAAGATATCCGAAAAACGAGATTTTCATTTCGTGGATAATATCGTATCATTTCGAGCACTACATATACGTTTATATTTAAACGTATTATCGTCTCAATGTTATAATTTTCAACGAGGGGATAAATTCTTTCGATCAAACGATAAAGATTTCCCTTTGCACAGATAAAAAAGGTAACTACATTTTCGCAATCCTTTCTCGCAACATATGTACGCAAGAGGTTAGGTCAACCCTTCCCGATGGGTTATTCGTAACGCGCTTATTTCTCGTCGGTACGGGTTAGCAAAGACGTTTCCTTCTAGTTTTCGCTTTTCTCCGTCTTTCCTTCAATGGATCTCGCTCGATCCTGGTGGTTGTAGAGACGCGGCGAAGAAACGCGGTGCGGAGCATTCGACGCCGCAGTCATAGCCATCCCACGAAAGAGGGAGGGGGTTGCGAGAGGGAGCGGGGCGTCGCGACGCCAGGCGTCGCTGGCATCGAACCGGCAGCATATCGTTGAGTCGAACGTGTCGTGTGCCGTCGCTATCGCCGCCGTGGTCGTGTCGTCATCGTCACCGTTTTTCTTTGAGCAGGTATCGAAAATCCTGTAAACGAATCTCGGTCATTTACCTTTGCCGCCTGAGGGAGGACATTTTGCTAAAAATCTTCGTAGCTTTTCTCAAGTACAATCTCTCCCGTCGAATTAACGCCCCAGCTCCCGGTCGTGAAACGATCGTGGAGAGAAGGAAGTGTACGCGTATAAGGGACCACGGCTACGCGTAACGGCGAACTAGAACAGTGAGGTTGGACAAAAGTTTGTGTACGGCCACGTTCGAAACGGAAAAAACCTATGTTTCGCGAGTGCGAATAAGAGGGAAGGTGAAGTAGGGAGAGTACGTGCTAGGGAGAGTATAAGCAGATCGAGGGAGAAGGGAAAAAAGAGAGAGAGTGATAGAACGAATGAGCTAGTAAGAGAGAGAGAGAGAGAGAGAGAGAGAGGAGAGAGAGAGAGAGAGAGAGAGAAAGAGAGAGAAAGAGGGGGAGGGAGAGAGAGAGAGAGAGAGAGAGAGAGAGAGAGAGAGAGAGAGAGAGAGAGAGAGAGAGAGAGAGAGAGAGAGAGAGAGAGAGAGAGAGAGAGAGAGAGAGAGAGAGAGAGAGAGAGAGAGAGAGAGAGAGAGAGAGAGAGAGAGAGAGAGAGAGAGAGAGAGAGAGAGAGAGAGAGAGGAGAGAGAGAGAGAGAGAGAGAGAAAGAGATAGAAAGAGGGTGAGGTAGAGAAAGAGGCAGAGATAGAAAGAGGGAGAACGAGCGAGAGAGTGAGAAAGATAGAGAGCGAGAGGGAGGGAGAGAGAGAGGGAAAAGAAAAAAGAAAAATCCCGGAAGAGAATAGTGACCCGATCCTGGAGTATCGTTTGCAACGCGACACTGTGCATTCAGAATCGTGAATCCATACGAAAGAAAGATCGTCGAGAAGATTCGCCAGGGTGCGAGCTGGACGATAACCATAGTATGAGAGAAGAGCGGCACGCAGCGAGAAGGTAAGGTACTCGATTGATTTGCCGTCGATGTAGACGACGCCTTTTTTGCAGCTAATCCTAACCTATCGTTCCGTATTCGTGATAACTGAAAGAGAAACAGATCGATTCGAGAAATCGGCGGGATCGATCATCGCGGTATTCTTCGCGCTGCTCTCGGTCGACGGTATTTGCGAGTAATATAGTCTTTATACAAAGGACGGAGGATCCATTCGATCGGTGTGCGCCGTGAACGCGATCGACGAGGGCTAGAGAAAGCTCACTGGCAACGGGAGAAGGGGGAGGAGCAGGAGGCAGAGAAGGAGGTGGTGGAGAAGAAGGCGGTGGTGGAAGAGGCGGTGAAGGAGGAGAGAGAGAAAGAGAGACGAACGAGCGAGCGCGTAACTAGGTGCATCATGAATAATACGCGTAGCTCGCGAACAAGTACACGCTTATACGATTCTGCGTTCGTAGAAGTGTGAGGGTGTAGAAACGTAGCATCGCTGTATTACATATACATATACATATATATATGCATATATTCGCGTACATATAAATATAATCGAACGCACCCAGATATCTATTTATAAGTTTAAACACGGCGAGAAGAAGGAGTGGTGGGAATCCGTAGCGGTGGTAACGTTGCTCGGTCATTGGTAGATACGTGTGCGTGCCGCGCGGTTCCTGGTAGTGGTGTTCTTCGCTAGTGGTCCGACGGTGATGCTGCTACTCGTGTGGTGATGATCCTAGCGTTCCTAGTGGTAGCGGTAGTGTGCTAGGCAACGTAACACGGAGGAGGTGGCCAACGATTCGAATGCCGTTTCTGCTTTCCCGCTTCGTTGGAAAATTAGAATCGACTGAACAGGGGACCAAGAAGGGGGTGAATGGACAGAAGATAAACGCGCGAATCAAGGGTGTCGGAAGTGCTACTTTCTTCGCAACGAATCGCGTTTAATAGGGCGAAGAGTAAGAAGTAAAAAGAGGAGGGAGAAGAAGAGGAGAGAAACCGTCGAAGAGAGAGAGAGAGAGAGAGTGAGAGAGAGAGGGAGACAGAGAGGATAAAAGAGTAGGAGGAGAAGAAGAGTGGCGAGAATAGGGATCGAGAAGAGGAAGAATTCGAGTGGAAGAAGTGCTCTGGCATTGAGTGATCGCGGCCGCCGCGAGTGCGTCAACGCGGATATGACGAGCGGATACGCCCGGCTCACGTGATACGCGACACAATCGCTCCACCGATACCGCTCTCTTGCAAGATATGTGGTAAGTCGTCAGATTCTCGTCTAAGAATCGACCGCGAGATCCTCCCCCTGAACGAGCGAGTAGAAGCGATCGCACCGAGAAACCCCTCTTCTTCTTTGCTCTACTTCTTTGCGTTTCCACTCTCGATCTTCCTTACCATGGATCGATCTTTCCGCGATAAAACGTACGTATCATCTGTGGATCCGACTTACATCTCCTCTGAAATTATCATTAATTTACCGCGAGTTTACTGGGAAATATCGAAACGGTCGGTTCAGATCCTGAAAACACGTATGTTTTCGAGGACCGTAGCATTTCGAAATTGGCGCCTTTTGTCCGTGCCAACAGAAGCAAGTTATTCTCTATCGCGACAAAACACACACGTATTCTATCGAGATTTTAAACTTTGTCCGTCGACGATGCTGTCGATTTATAAACAGACGGAAAATATGCGATTCGAGTCGATGACTGTGTCGATCAGCTTGAACCTATTCGCGCTATTCTCTTA